ATATATATATATATATATATATATATATATATATATATATATATATATATATATATATATATTTGAAGAATCCTAATTTTAAATAAAATAATAATACAAAAATTAATTTCATTATGTAAAACTAAAATTCTTTAAAACTTTTTTAAATATAAAATTATCTAAAAAATTTTGGTTATAAATATTACTGTTAATAGTCTTAGATCTTTTTGCTTATAATCAGAATAATATTAAAATTCACGATATTTATATACATGATTGGTTACTCACTGCTTCAGCTTCCTTGTAGGCAGCAGCTAATTCTTCGCGTTCATTCTCCAATCGGCGAAGTTCCAACTCTAATTCATGGAGTCTGCGATTCATGTCAGCCAATTGATTCTTTGCGTCGCTAAGGTCATCTACATAAATATTAATAATGTTACAATTTAATTATCTAAATAATTATGTGAATTGTTTTTTACCCTCTGTAAAAAATATTTATTTTACTCAAAAGAAAGCTCCAATTAAATAATATAAAGAGAAACTTCAGTTTTGTTAAGAACATATAAATTTTCAGAATATAATAATTTATTAACAGAAATTCACAACTGATAATTGCTACTGCATTTTTAGATTGTATATTTTAAAAATAAAAAATAATACCTCCAAGTTTCTTGTTCTCACGGGCCAATTGATCTTTCAATTCACGAGTCTTATCGAGTTCAGCATTTACACGTTGCAGTTCTTGTTGTTTATTGCGAAGATCGCGCTGGCTTTGCTCATACATGGCGAGGGATTCGTCCAAGCGAGTCTTTAATTCTATATTGATCTTCTCAAGATGTTCAACACGTTTTTGAAGTTCACGAGCAGTTCCATTGGCCTTAAAGAAAAAAGTTATAATATGGAAAATTTTTCTATTTTAAGAACGTAAAATGTTTATTTTTCAGAAAAGATATGTCAGTACAAAGCTGGAATATAATAAAATCTTACCTTTTCTAAGTCAATAATCAAGACCTCTACTTCAGATTGCAAGCGCGATTTCTGCTTCTCGAGATTATTGATCTTTACAAGCAAGGTTTCGATTTGTTCTTCTTGTTCTTGGATGCGAGCAGAATATTTGCGACGAAGTTCTTCTACCTGTGTAAAATTATGTTAAGTATTTATTAGTAATTTCTGATTTTGATATTAATGTGGTACATGAAAGCAATTATTAAGTTGACAAAAGTATATTTTTATTTGATAAATATGCTTATTACCTCTTCGATACGAGCGTTAGCCTCGGTTTCATACTTTGACCTCCATACTGAGACTTCTCCATTAGCTTTGACCAATTGACGTTCGATATCTAGACGTGCTTCAGATTCTTCTTCCAACTGGACGCGAACGGATTCCAATTCCACTTCGACCTATAATGCATAGTGACAATTATATTTAAATGTATTTATTTCTAGAAAAGATTTCTTTTAATTAATAAAATAGTATTATTAATTAGAATTTCAGCTATTCTTTTCAATATTCGCAACAAGAAATGGAATGCTAATAGTTAATTTTTCTATTTTTTTTTAATTTTTATAAAGAATATTACATTAATATAATAAATTTATGTAAGATACTTGGAGTAAGTTATTTCTTTGGCAAAATTAAAATAAAGTATCTTGTATACATCATATAAATATTTAAGATAGATTATATAAACATTTAAGATAAGTTATTCATTTTAAAGGAAATTGTCGAAATCGATAATATTATACCTGGTGCAAAGAAGCTTCGATCAACGCACGACGACGTTCTTCATCTTCAAGACGACGACGAGCATCGTCAAGTTGACCCGCGATTTGCGTCTTTAGATAGGTAACGTTCTCGATGTTCACCTAGAATTTTATTTGAGTAATTAGAGATTCACAGTAGATTAAAAATTATATTCTCTAAATTGTAAAATATCTATCGCTTTACCTTGAGATCTTGCACCTCTTTGACTAATTCAATATTCTCTTGAGACAGCCGAGTTTTATGACTAGTGATATCGACAATCGTACGGTTTAATTCCTCGATTTTGACGTTCAATTCAGATATGTGTATCTCGAGTTTCTCGACTGTTTTTATTGACATCAACTTTTCTTTAGTAACATTGTCAAGTTGAGCGAGGAGACTTCCGTCTTAAATTTCGATTTTTCCTTATCAGCTCTGGAATCATAAAATAATTTCTCTAAGAAAATTTTTAAACTTTTATTTTATCATGTAAATATAATACTTATACGTGTGTGTGTATATGTGTGTGTGTGGTGTTGTTATTGTTGTTGTTATTGTTATTGTTATTGTTGTTGTTGTGTTGTTGTTGTGTTGTTGTTGTGTTGTTGTTGTGTCATGTGTATTGTGTTAGGTATGTGTTGTGTAAAAAACAACATTAAATTTCGATACAATTCGATACAATTCAATTAAAGAGAGAGGGAAGAGAGAAAGAAAGAAAAAGAGAACGAATTTACATATTACATGAACATGTAAAGCCGCGTATACACCTAACGAACGAATACCAAACGAATAGCAAATATGAACATTCGAACATTCGCGTTCATGTTCATTCGTTTTTTCTCGATTGTATCGAACACAGGCCGAACACCCATTCGATCTTGTTTCGATATTCGGATCACTGTTCGCTGTAATCTTGCTTGAGACAATTAATATTGATATACTTGTAAATTACATAATTACATGATTAAACTTGTGCAGTATGTAATTCGCTATTTGTTCGGTGTTTGTTCGTTAGATGTATACGCGGCTTAAGATAGCTATTAAAGTAATATTTTTTATACTCCTATTAATTTGTTAAAAATAATTGAAAAATGCATTAGTAACATTAGATTATAAAAGGAAAGAGAAACTTGATAAATGTTTAAATTGTAATAATAATACATATGTTTAAAGTATAATTCAACACCTTGTCGTGTTCTCCATATGTAATTCATTGAAAAGAACATTATGAGCAATTCCATTTTTCTAGAAGAAATATGAAAAAAATTGGGTAATCTGGATTTACTCCTATACAAGCCATAAAGGGTGCAAGATGTCAGTTAGCCGATTCTGAAGATAGTAGGGGAGGGAGGGGGGGTTCTCTGGCTGGTCGCGTGTACTAATATGGCGCGCCAACGTTGGGGTTGTGGATTACCGCGCAACTCGTACGGTTAAAAATAGTCATAAGCTGTGCGAGCAAAAGCGAGATAGAGAACAAGAAACGCATGAGGAAAATAAAGGAAGACAGTATGTTTTTGTACTGAGAAAGAAAAAAAATATTAGTGAGACTTATCATACATCCTTCACAAGTTTATCTTATGAACAGATGAAAATTCTTCTTTTTAAATGGCATCATATTTAAGACACTTTAAAGAAGTTAATTTTGGGAAGAAATGTCTTAAAAGATTGATTAAAGACAAAAAAATTACAATAATGGATGACAATAGATGACAATAGTTGGAATAAAAATTATCAAAAAATATCGTGCAAAATTATTGAGAGAATAATCTATGTTATATTTGTAAATTGATTCTTCTATTTTTACAATATTCATAAATTTTGTCAATGTTGTTGCGTGGGTTATGATTTATAATCGGCAGTGAAATCATGAAGAAAATGTAACCGAGGTATATTTGATACTACTTGCGTCGTTGGATTTCTGAAACGAGGTAACAGCTGTACTGATTACTTATTATTTTTAGCAACTATGTCGCTGTTTCAAATTAAATTCTGGAAAATCAGTATTCTTTTAAAGGATTTCTGACACAATAACATAAGTGTTTCCATACAGCACAAACTTCCAAAGAATATTCTAAAAACATCCTAGATCCTAAGGATGTTCCCAGGACGTTCATTGAATAAAGTATGTTCTCTGGGTTGTAATCATGTTACAACAATCCAATTTTCATGTAATAAAATTTTAAACATATACATATTTTTATTCATTATATAACTTGAAGCAAAGTTAATTCGTTATAAACTCATACAATTCAGACTTTCACGTAATATCTAAAAACGTAACATTTAAAGGACGTCCTCATATAAAGTGCTGTGTGTGGGAAATAGTAGTATACAAAATTTAAGATTATATTTAAATATGTCTGCATCCTTGAAAAGGATGATGAGTACCAAAAATTTCTTGATTTAAATATTGATAGCAATTAATTATATAAGTTTCGATTATTGTCTTGTACAATTTATTTTATATTTTTTAATTATAAAATTATATTTTAGAATATTTTATGCATGTTTTTAAGATTGCTTATTTTTTATTCCAGAATATTATTTAGAATGTTTTTAAATTGGCGAAGCACGAAGCTTTGCCTTTCAGACAGTTCATGCGATTATCTGAAGAGTAATTATTTTTCTTTAAATTTTTAATTGTTTACCATTTTATTTTTAATCGAAAGCTATCAAAAAAAGCGGAACTAAAAGCGATCATGGACATTTCATTGCGCGGCCAATTAGCGATCTAATTAACGCGTGTTTCCAGGGCTGTCATCGTTCTTGTACGGATGACAAAATCGGCGTCTTGAAGAAGCGACTATGTTTAGAAGAGCTGAGGTACTGAATCTTCGTGTATTTCAGTTGCGAGTCATTTTCTGGTTTGGACTGTGGCCAGTGCGACTTGTATAATTCGCACAAACTTTCTTACATATAGTCACTCTCGTTTGTGACGAGCCGCGTTATAATTACCCACGTGACATCGTGATTCATTACGCTTCCTCCCTATTAGCGTTCTGTCTTTTCCACATTGCGAGACGCTTCCTTATGAAATCGCTATTTGCTACGCGCCGAATTTCCGGCCAGTTCTCAGCTGTTTATTGATGTTCCCTGGCAACACGCTTATGCGCGCTGCCGTTTTAAATAGAAGATTAACAAACGTTTACATTGCGGCTGCTTTGTAATCGCGAATGTACACGTGTCCGTGCACTTTCTGAAATGTACGGAGTTCTGGTCTTGATCAATTAATTTCTAATAGAAACGTTAAATTTAAAAGCTTAAGATATATTTAATTGAAATGTATCTGATTGAATCTAATAAATAATAAAGTTAAGTATTCATTAAAAAATTATTAATGTATTTTAAACAAACTTATTATGTTATCTTATTATATTAGCTGCTTATTATATTAATATTTAAGTGATGGACAGAGTTTCATTAATTACTAACCTGGCACGTGCTTTAGAAAGCTGATCAATCTGATCTTGAAAGTCGACGACGACTTCCTGATGCTTTTTGCGCAAGAGATGTGCGGTCTCCTCACTCTCAAGATGTACATCTTCGAGTAGTTTACGCAGCTTGGCCAATTCCGTGTCCCTCTTCTTGTTAATCTCAAACTAAGCAAGAAAATCATTAATTTGTGCATAATTTATGTTTAATTATTTAATACTAATTTTTCTAACTGTAGTTATACTAAACAAAAGAGTTATCTTTGTAAAATTCAAACTTACTTGAGATTCGGCGCCACCCTCAGCCTCTTCGAGACGTTCGGACAATTGGATGACTTGCACGCTTAAATCAGCGCGCTCGCGTTCGATCTGTAAGATTGCAAAATCTTATGAAAAAAAGAATAGATAATTTTTTAATTTACGACTTAAATTTATAAATTTAAATTTTATATAAGATCTATATTTAAAAGAGACTAACTTTCAAAATAAATTATTAATTAAATAAGAATGCAATGAGGATATTTTTCTGAATAATAAAGTAATAGTGACATTATAAGTCCAATATTACCTATAATTTTCTCAACAATATTACATACAGTATGTATTATATTTTATTACATCTATATATCGTTAAGTAGCAAATTATAATATTGATATAATGTTACTAATACTCAAAGAACACATAAAAAAGTTAACAAAAACTAAAGTGATTTTATTTTAATTCTTAATATCAACAAACAAATTTTGTAGTCAAAAGTCATCAGTCTGACTTTCATGACGTCAAAATAAGAAAATTTTCAACATGTTTTACAATCATTTAAAAACAATGTTTAAATTAAAATTCAGAAAAATGATATAATTACTTTTTATACTTCTAATATATATTTTTTATACTTCTATGTATATTATTTTATACTACTTCTTCTGTATATACTTGAAATAAATAATAAATGATAAAATTTTTAAATCAAAGTATATCTTTTTAAAAGTTTAAAAACATTTTTATATTTTATATTCTCTTATATAACGTATGTGTTATATAATTAAATGTGAAATTAAATCAGGAATGAATTTTGGTGACAAATGCAATAAAGTTATGGTTATTATTTTGATCAAAGAAATTGCATGACAGTGTACTTTGCCACGGTATCTTAAGTGGTAGCTTGACGTCAGGTTACTTCACATCGTGAATAGGACGATCTATTTTTGAGCGCGGCGTGTCTATATTGGGAGTCTTATTCATATTACGAACGAAGCGTTTAACGAAAAAAAGGAAGATCACGATACTACTATCATAATATTACATGAAGTTGTTTAATTATTATTTTAATTAAAATTATTTCAGATATTTAATAAAGTCATCTGTTATTAACAGTTATAAACACAATGTGTGTATATTGTCAATAACACATACTTGCTAATAACTGATTTAATATAAAACACACTTATTAATTTAATATAAAACATGTATGAGAAAATTAAAATTTTGTTTCTTTGAAATTTTATTACAGTTATATAATGTACTCTATCTGATGATAAAATTAAATTGTCATGTATTTATGTATCCATGTAAGTGCATTATAAAAAATTAAATAAATTGTATGCCTTTGTTTAATGATCAAGTATTCAAAAGATTTGCAATTTTTAAATGTGATGCATACACGTTTAAACAAAGATATTTTAAGGTATTTTGAAAGTGTACATCATGCGATGTAACCCGTCATATCAATTTTCGAGGTTTATAGCTTTGAAACTCGAGGAAAATTTTTGGCAATTGTTCAATACACGTATTATGGCATCCGTTATATATCAATCCAATTTCTATGGAATTCTGACAGGCAATGAAATCTGAGAAGTTCTTATAAAATGTAATTCTCTATTTGAAGTTGTGCCCTTTTTGTTACATATGTAACTATAGATAAATAACTACAGATAAATATTATACTTAAAGAATGTAATTTCTGTAATGTATGATCTCAGATATGTATGAAATTTCATAAAATTTACTACGTACAATTTTTTAATTAATTAAAACTTTTTAATAAGTAAAAAAATTAGTTCTAATTTGTGATAAGAAACAAGTTACCTTTTTGTTTATGCACATGGAATTAAATTATTTTAAAATTTTATGTAAAAATTTTGTATTCTTTTTTAAGTTTGTATTTGTATGACTCTTCTCTATATAAGATTGAAACATTTAAATTGTAAACCGTTCAAATTTTTGTAAAGATTCTGTATGATAAAGTTTTCCTCGTTTCTGAAAGTAGGCGAACAGTGTTGAAAACTTCACGTTCCTAAAAATAGATGTAACTCAAGAGCTGGACAATTCGACCTACTGCGATCCATTCTGCAATGAATTAACATTCTTATATCCTTTCCATTTTCAATTAATGAATATCTGAAGAGTGAGATATAAGATTGTAATTTTGTTCGATCAACATAATGGTCAAAATAACTTTTCGATCAAGCACATAACGGTTAAAATAACTTTTTGATCAAGCACATTTTGGTGTTATATTATAAATCTTAAATTACAAGTCGAATTTTTATCAGCTTCCTTGATATTTTCATTTAATTATACTTGTTATAAAAAAATACACTGTTCTTTCAATAAGTATTTTTTTAAATAAACGTAAATAAAAACCTGTTCTTTTTTATTAATTATTATTAGTGCTACATTTTGACATTATTATGATGTAATAGTTAAATAATGTATTAAGAGCCTGCGTTAATTCTTAATTATTTAACAAACTAAATAATATTTAATTGAATTATTATATGTTAACAAAAATATAATCTGTAATAGTTTATCTAAATAATTTAATGTCCTATAATTTTTCAATAAAAGAATGTATATGAAACAGTTAATCTAATCATTCAATCATTTATTTGCTTTTATATATAGCAGAGTTTCATTAAATATAATCCTAACGTTATGAAGAATTTGATATCAAACGTCACAGCAGGCATTCGATGTTTGTCATTGCGATTAAAAAGTTTCAAATACTGGGTATAAAAACATTCATGGAACTCACCCTCTGACGCAGCTCTCTCTCAGATTCCAGGTCATCCTGTAGTAGGCGGATTTTGTCCTGAAAAGAGAGGCAATAAGTATTAGAGGATATTACATGGCGCCCGTTTTAGAGGGTCGACACTTTACGTAATCATTCGACGAAAATATCTAAGAGTGGAGGCTCGATATTTCGGAAAGACGGACGGCCTCCGTAGAATAGATTCGTCCTCGGTAGAAGGAGAGAACGACGTCGCGATGTCTGCTTAGCGCGTCTTTGAACTGTTTGGCTGAGATTATTTCAAGAAAGGGCGCGTATTAACGTTAGATTGCGCCAAGAAATGCCAGGCCACTTGTAAGGGGATGAAGAAACGATCTTACTTGGTCATTGTAGAGACGACTATTATACTTCTCCTTTATACTTTTCTTGAAATGAAATACGTCCTAGAAAAGCATATCCTTAGGTCTGAAGAAAGATGGGCCAAGGTATCTTGTGGACTTAGCATAGCATTGGCAGACGGTATCAAAGCGGTATCGATCTGGCGCCTTGGCATGATCGTCATTTCAGACCGATATTTCACCGACTATTTTTGTGCACGAGCAATCCGATAGCTACAGAACGTCGTACACTTTGCTTCCTCGTTGGATTGGCACTAACATCTTTTATGGTCACTGAACTTTCGTAGTTCACCACCTTCGCGATTGGTCACTGCTCCGCGATTGTTCGAATCCATTGCGTATCACTGATAGTCAATGTTTTTATGACATACGGAAACTATTGTGAAAGTTTTATCTTCATTAAAATATAGTGATTAATAGATGCGACCATTTCCTCAGGAGAACGTCTGTCGATAGACAATTCTTTTTCATTCACCTCGTCATCATACATAGATGTAATCGTTGCAATATCAATTAAGTGGACTGACAAATCTTGTTGATTCATTTAAAATTCTGATTTTAGCTTTCCATATTTTTTAGAAAAATAGTTAACTTCCGATTTTTACGATTATTAAATATATTTATATTGTAATACGATTTTAGTGAAATATGAGAATTTGTAACTCTTTCGTATTGTGCAAAAAAATTTTTCGTTGAAATTCAATATTAAATATGTTGAAAGTATATTATACTACAAATTTATTTAAAACATCTCTGGTTATAAATTTTCCGGATTATTTAATTATTTTAATTTCGTCAAGTTTATTTAAACTATTACCAAATTTCTTCCTCTTTGAAGAAGCAATAATTATTTCGAATTAATTTTTATTTTTAATTATTTTAAATTAATTTTAGACAATTTAACTTTTTAAAGGCACTATAGATTTATAAATAATTTCATCTAATTTGTTTAAAATATAATTAGAAGCATTTAAAAGTTGGTAATAAATAATTGTAAAAATATGTATTATTTTTAATTTTTATCATCGCTGTTGTTCTCTCTCCTACCGAAGGACATTATATCAGAGGCTTTTTCGCAGAACCTACCTCGAGTCTGCTGAGAGCGCTCAGGTCGGCGCTATATTCGATGCTAACATCGGCAGTACCCGCACCACCGGTAGAGCGATACGTGTACTTAGAGGATTTAGCAACCGCTGAAGAGGCCATTTTTCTCTTTTTGTCCTCTATTTGTCTTCAACAATGTTTTGACCTTTTTCGTATTTTGGGACTCAAGTCCTCTCGTGGATTTTTAGTTTGGACACCCTTCGCCGATAACGGTTTTCCTTTCCGCTGGCTAAGTCAAATCGCCTCGGCCTCAATCGTTGATACGTCCACTCCACTTCTTCTACGGTCTTCTTCTTCCTCTTCTTCGGGGTTTCGGAGCCGACCAGCGCCCTACTCGTAGTGCGCGACTCGTCGTCGTTCGTATGGCGCGCCGGCTGTTCCATGGCTTCGTCAAAATGACGACCGACGCAAGCGCATTGATGCTGGATCCCCACCAGAAATGGTGAACATGTTCGTCACCGTCGTTGTTCTTGTCATCTTCATCATCGCCGAGGAAACCACTAAACCACGCTGGACGCCCACGTTGTCTAAAGGTAGTTGCCAAATCGACTTCGGCTTGGCCGACTACGGTGGCGAAGATATCGAGTAGAGAATGTCACTCTTTTATGATCTTTATTATGTTACATGAGTTTCAAATTATGTTATTAAAGAATGCGTTCTCCAGTATTCTCTGAATTAATTTTTGAATATTTACTAGTTACTAATGAATTCCAAAATATTGTATTAGAAAAGAATTTTTTATTATTTAAGTGTTTCCAAATAGTTTATGGATTGAATTATAAAATAATTGGTTATACGTGTTTGGAGAGTTGAGTATTTAAAGCAATATGAAAATGATTAATAATCCACAGGAAATATATCAACTAAAGTTTCGTTCATAGGCAGATTTAGATGAATGTGACAAGAGACCTTAGTTACGCTCCATTTGCTGTCCTTCTTCTCAAAAGAATATAAATGTATATGTCAGTTCACTGTCCTTAAACTTAAGGCTCGTTTTGCATTTTCCTATTAATAAATATTTTCAGAACATTATTTAAAATGCATCTATTTGTATTATGTATAACTTAGTTTTTGTTACTTATTATACTACACTATTTTTTAATATGGATATAAAGAGTTCTTTCTGATGTATTTGTCTATTTAACATCATTTTTCTTAAAATTATAATAACCAAATTCATGTTTAACAGGCAAAATATATATCTTAGAAGTTATTCATATTTATGTTAAAAAAAAGGTCAAATTTTATCAGACAATGTTATTAATAATTTAAAATTTCATTTTCTGTTTAATATAAAAATATAATATATGATATTCTATATTATTACACATATGATACTATAGATATAATATATGATATTCTATATTATTACACATATGATACTATAGGTAAATATAATTATTTTTTATTTAAAAAAAATACTCTAATCAATTACAATTATAATCTCAAATTAATTTTTATCCCTATAAGTTGATATTCATTCAGTAACTATTTTCCAAAGGTGGTTTCTTGAATTCTTATGCATAAAATTGCCCGAACTAACTTAATATTGTGTACTTGAAAAGAAAGATATATCTAGTAGAATATTCTTAGTTCAGTCAATGATAAAACGAGATGCCGACTCATTCAACGATCTATCTACTTAAAGATGTAGAGAAGTCGTATGAGAAGAAAAAGATATCGAATTTATTTAACATTTAGATACCAGAATATCACAACAACATATTAGATATTTTTAGATCAGAGATTCCTTTGTTAGTAATTCTACAGTGGCGTACATTATAATCGATATGGATATTTAGGTACATTTATTGAAAATGGACGAAAATTGTAAAATCTTTAAAGTAGTATATATTTTTTAGCATATATACTTATGTGTATACATATGTACAAATATATATAAACATATAAGTTTAATTAAAAATAATCCTATGGTAAACAAATGTGTATCAGTTGATTGTTAATATAATATTTAATGTTTATAAATATTGCAAAATGATTAAATAAACAAACAGAAAAATTTTTTTAAGATGTAGATATCTAATAAATGTTATATAATTTTATATGCTTTAGTTTGTTTACAATATGCTTTAGAATGTATGCAATAATAAATATTTATATTATTATATAAAATTAATATGCTATAAATTATTAATAACAGCATGAAATAAATTATATTTTAATAAAAAAAACTTATTTTAAATAAATTTATTTTATTTTTCATATTAATAATAAATTTTTATATTATGTTGAATAAATTAATGTTACATTATGCATTTTATTAAAATAGTATAACATAAATTACAAAAATAGTTATAACTTTATTATTTTACTTCTGCATTTAACTAATTGGTTTTCATGAGGTTGTTAGAATTTCCTGTTGCTCTTCTTGCAAACCTAAAATCGCGCCAGACATTTTGGTATTTACAGACAATGTTGTTGACAATGTGACAAAGAAAAACGCGAATACGCGGGCGAGCAGTTATACTACAATTAAACAAATTAAACGATTGAAATTTTTTAATTCTTTATTAAAATGATGATTAAAATTACAAATAATTTCATCTCTCTCTTTCTCTCTTTTTCTTTCTTTTTCTTTTTCTTTCTTCTCTCTTAGAATTGTCTTTTATGAACTAACATTTTTATAATAAAATTATAATTAAAGATCGTAACATATATATTTTTTATGTTTTATATAAAAAGAAAACCAATATCGTAAAACAATTGTACATTTTAATTTTTTATTGAAATATTGTTCTTATTTAGTGAACTAATAAGTAAAATCACAAAAAATAAATACGTATCAAAAAAAGACAAAAATATATAATTTCTATATTTCTATTTTTTTCCTGACGAGATTGTTAATTATTTTTATAGGTATTCAATTCTGATATTTTTAAAATTTTCTTCTATTATAATGCAATTTTCGTCGATACAGAAATGATTTTCCCTATTTTACAATTTCTATTGCAAAAAATAAAATCAATTTGAAAAAAGTAAAAAAAGTAAAAACTACTTTATGCTGCTTTAATATCTGCGCTTCAATAAAATTTCTGTTTTCTGATATCGGTCAGAGCAAAATCGCAGTCGTTCCGGGTGCTTCTTTTTCCGTCGGATTGCCAGTTTTCACACAATTTCCTCCCACTTTGCCCCACTACCGGCGAGTGTCTATAAAAGGTCGCCGGGCGATGGTGGCAAAAATGCTTGGTCGGCCTAGCCCGGAGCTCAGTAATTTGAGATTGACCCCTTCTCTGCATGTTCATCCCCTTCCTCATCCTTCGCCACCACTTTTCTTGAGTATGTGGCTCGATCTGGTGGAGAATTTCAGGTGATAGAGAGAAGAGGTAGCACATCGTCAGATCAAACGCGAAAATAACTCTCTCATGTGTGCACTCTCTCTTCTCTACTTATTTTTTTCCAAGGAGGCTAATCGCATCCTCATTTTTTCCTTCTAAATTTCTCAATCATTATTTTATCTATTCCCAATATGATATTTAAAAATAATATAGTTCTTATTTTTGTAAAGAAATTTATTTACCTATTAAATATTTTTTATTTATATTTATAAACAAATATTTATTTTTTTTATGTTCTTTTTTTCATATTTGTAACATTAATTTTATATGTAATATTTTTCTAATTTTATTATTTATTTACATATATAGTTTTTTATTAATTCTTTTAGGGGTGCAAATTTGTAATATTTACTTTAAATTAAATTTGGAATAAAAAAATTCGAGGTAATTTTAGGATCTGAGCAAATTAGTTGTTTAAGAAACTGAGGATAGAAATTTATATAGCATTGAACAATAAATATGGTACTTCTACCTGCTAAAAAGACTATATGTCGATTGTATTTCGATGCATGCAAATTAAAAGAATAAATATATAGATGTTCACTTATAAGGCATTTTTAATAAAAGCAGTAAAAAAGTATTTTTAAATGATAAAATGATACCCTAGAGAGTTATTTAGAGAATTTTTTGTTTATTTAGGATTTAAATGAAAACATCATTTATAAACTAAGGAGCAAGTCAATGATATTTAAAAATGTGAAGTCATATCTGCTTTGAGCCTTTAGAATATATTCTTATTTTTACACGACTACAAGAACTAGTTTATTTATATGAAAATGTCTCCTTACAAAAAATTATAAAGTTTTCTTAAATTTATAAACATTTCTTAAAAAATTAATAGTAAATCTATATATTTTATGTACTATATTATTAAATATTTTTATTTGATCTCTTCTTTCCATTTATTTTTACATCTTTTTTTTGCAATTAGTGTTATCGTTTACTCGTCTGTGAAATAGTTTGAATTGAATTATTACCTTATTTATTATAATTGCATTGCTTTTATTTTTACACCAATCTATAATCTTAATCTGATGGAATTAATTGCTTTGTCATTCTAAGATTATATGTTGCTCATTTTATTATTTCATTCAGAATAAGTCGTAAAATTCTTTATTTTATATGATAATTATCATTTTATAACGTATTATTCTGATGTGATTACATCTTCTTTATTGTTGTTATTATTATTATTATTATTATTATTATTATTATTATTATTATTATAATAAAAACTGAAATACTTCTCTCCTCTTATTAAAATATTTTTGCGCTTAGAAGAATTTAAATAATATTTAAATAATTTTTTAACAAATTTAAGCTGATAAATTCTATAAATGTGTTTACATAAAATTCTTTTGTTCACTATCTGAATACTAATGTCTAACAATAAGTAATAAAATGCACATAAGACATGCTTTTGAATTTGTCATAATTTATTAATATCATGTCCCATTTTATTAATATCATGTCCTATATTATAACATTTTCGACTGTTTCTTGCAATTCCACACCTGTTATACGCATTTCGCATATAATTATAGAGAACACATCGGTTTAAGATTCAGGAAGAGGTCAACAGGTGGCTTTTTAAGTGATCGCTAGAAACTTCTTACTAATGAGATGAAGTTGCAAAATTTATTAAAACATGCAACTGCATTTGGCCGAGAAAATCAAAATTGGATACAATTACATTTTATTCTATCATTATCACTTATATTTTGCGATTAAGAATAGACTTGAATTTGTTATAGTAATAAACATAATTATTAATATAACATAAACATAAAACATAACATATGAACATAAACATAAACATAATTAGTAATTAACATAATTAGTAATTATTAAAATAATACGCAAGAATTATTTAAATAACCGACGATTTATATAACAATGATTTTCGAAAATAATTTCACAATTGTAAACAATACGACTTACTCTTTTTTTAAGATGTGAATCGAGTTGCCATACTAT